ACACTTTCCCCCTTTCTGTTGCTTCCCAGAATTTGATCATGATAGATAAGAGTTCAGGAAGCCTTTCTGGACCACAAAGTGACTTAGGAAAAGGATGCAACTCACTAGGAATGTGTGACCCTAAACCACTCAAAAATGGGATCACCTTATTCCAATCTCTTTAAGGTAGTGGAACATTAGACTTCTATTTTACCAAAGGCTCTGTGTTTTGCAGTCTTTCTTTCTAGTTGTAGGACAAAATAATTGATCCTATAAAAATTACAATGAAAATACATAATTCTTGTTATAGAATTAATCCTTTCAATGCCTTCAAAATACTACTATATAATCTAAATAGGATTATCAGGCCAGTGTATATATGGCTTTTTTAAATGATGAGATTTATTTCATTATATATTTTATAATGTAATATTTTTTATTCTGTTTTCATCTCACAAGTTTGTAAAAAACAAATGTACACAGTATGATAATTATGTTAAAATGATTTTTTTTGCTTTATTTTGGATATTTTTCATATTGCATATAAATCAGGAAATGTTATACTATAGAACCATTTTCAAAATGAAATGCAAAAGAAAAGATTAATTCCATGGATAATATTTTCTATTTCACCAATTTGTAGAAGGAGGTGGAGAAGAATGATAACCAATAATAGTAAATGCTAATACTGCACTATTAATATTTTTATGATAAAGATAGATCACATTACAGATATAATAATATCTAATACCTATAAAAGTTTTTTATATGGCAGGCAATGTTCTCAGCACTTGATATATGGTCTCATTTAATAATTAGATGGTTATTTCCTGGAAGAGAGGGCTATAACCAACTCACTCTGCATAACAGCATTAATATTATTATTAATAATGACAATAATGACAGAAGCCGAAAGTGTTTTCTTACCATGGGGATTCCATAAGGGAGTGGGTTACCTAGGATGTGTTCACCACAATACCTTATGATTTCTTTTATATGACATTTTCAAAAGGACAAAAGTATAGCTAT